CCCGCAATTTTAATTTTTAAGGAACACATCTTGATTCTGGGTTTAAAAATGCATTGTAATTACCACGTTACTGACAATTGTACCGAGTAAATATTATCATTTTATTTCCCTGTAATGCCTTACATTACCACATTACAGCAAAAAGCAATGCATTACAGTAATTAATAACATTTGTACCGCATTACTCCCAACACTGCCCAAATCACAGCACAGCTCGAGAAGGACCTCCTGTCAGTGCGCTCATGGAAACGTGTTTAGTCCAGGGAGCACGCTCCGACACATCCTTCATAATAATATAGAAACTATTTTTTATCTAGTGCATTTGAAGAAAAATCACGAGGCGTTTCACAAGGACAAAATATAATATAATAAAATGAAATTAAAAATAATACTCATTTTTAAAAAGATTAAAAACATCATAAAAATGGGGAGAGAAAATATTGTAATTATGTCCGTCTGTTGCAGACACGTGTAGTCAATAGTTTTGCACTTTAGTGCATTTTAGTTAAAAATTTCATTTTCTGCCTAAAACTGGTAGTGTTGTACCGTTGTCAGGTAAAAACTCTGCACTGGATTTGAATTTAAATCTGCCATCGCTATTGGCTAAGAGGTACCCTAGAACGTTAGCTGGTACCATATGATGTCACAATGTCGTTGTGAGCCTGTGTGTGTGTGTGTGTGTGTGTGTGTGTGTGTCACAGCGGCTCTGCCCTCTCGGTCTGCTAGGCAAAAGCTTTAGTTGAATTTTTCAAACAGGAAGTGGGAGTGGAGTAATACTCTGGTAGAGGGTGACTTGCTCCTTAAACGACCACTTGTATTAAAAAAACAAGCATTGTGTTTTCCTCAGGGAACCTCTGCTTTAAGAGAGATAAAAGGTCCTACGTTTCTGAATTCATTAGGAACATTGCATGCAATATAAACTCTAAATAAAAAGTAACACTGAATGCACTAAGTTGAAAACTGCAGAAAAATCTTATGTTTGGTACTTTTTTGGTACTTGAAGTAGTGCAAATAGTCATTGCATCTGCAGCTTGCCAGTAATGTCCTGTAGTAGCCTACATAGTTGATGTAAGACACTTTTTGATGGGTGAATAAGTAAATTGCCAGAATTCAAACTGTCATATAACAGCAAATCCCTTTTCCCTGGGCCCTTTATATAAAAATATTCACAATATTTGGAAATAAACTGCTTGTTTCAAGGTAATGATGATTTCAAACGTATTTTTCTCTTTATAAAAGTAACAAGGTAAAAGTTAAAGACAAACAAAGTTATGACCAACTGTTTTGTCATTAGATTAACCTACAGTAAATGTTGAAATGTCAGACACAGAACCTTTAAAGAGCAAGTCACCCCTTACAAGAAGCGTACTTCACTCCCACTTCATGTTTGAAAAATGCAACAAATGCTGTTGCCTAGCAGACCGAGAGGGTGGAGCCACTAACAAATACACACACTCACAACATTGTGACATCATAATGTACCAGTTTACATCATAGCATACCTCTTAGCCAATAGCGATGGCAGATTTAAATTCAAATGCAGTGAAGAGTTTTTACCTGACAACGGCACAACACTGACAGTTTCAGGCAGAAAATTTAAATTTTAACAAAAATGCACTAAAGTGCAAAACTATTGACTACACGTGTCTGCAGCACGATTAGACACGCATTTATATAGTTTATCAGAAAAAAATAGTTGATTTGGGGGTGACTTGCTCTTTAATCGTGAAAAGCTTTGGATGGGTAGTCTCAGGAGATAGTCATGTCATTGAAATTATTTTAAATGAAACAAACCCATAATCACAGGCAGAACACCATAAAAATGTAAGACTTTTTCTTAAAAATTTAAACAAAAAGTCAACAAACTTTAAAGCTCAAAGGCAAATCACAAGCCTACAGTTCTAGAACTGCAATATAGCAAAAATCCTTAGCTGAGATCTTCATTTCTTATGGCACCATGGGCCAAGATTACCTTTTGCCAGTCCTCAAATTCATTTTTAAAACCTGTGTCCAACCTCACAACCTACACAGTAAACAGCCAGAGGCGATCCAGACAAAGGTGATACGGTGCTCTCTCAGACACTAACTTGAGCTGGAGAGGTGTGAAATATGTATGGACATTTACTAAGACCGCTGTTGATGGACAGATGAGAAAGAAGTTCTGCACACAAAGATAAAGCAATTAAAGTAAACAGAGCTTGCTATTTTTATAAACGGTATCTGATTTCAGCTTACATGTAAACAGTATTTTATCAAACTGGGTCAAAACTTTTCATGTATTCTTATATTTTGTTGTAGCTTTGAGAGATTGTCACACATTTAAACTACAGAATTTGACAGTTTCATCTTTATTTTCCTACTCAAACAACTGTGGATAACTTCAATAAATGTAAATGAAACCAAATAATAAAAACACACTTATTTAAATCTCTTTTCCTCAGTAGAGTCATGGAGATGGTGTCTAACTAATGAAGTCATCAGATGAGAGGCAAGGAAAACTCTGGACAGGTACCCAGTCCATCACAGGGACACACAGTCACACACTCACCCGTAGGGATAATTTAGCCTCTACTTAACCTGCACGATTTTGATCTGTGGGAGGAAAGTGCAGTACCTACCCACACATGCATGAGAACATGCTAACTCTACACTGAAAGGCTGTGCAACATTGTAGGTATAATGAGGCAATGATAAAGCAGGAAAGACAAATTTGTAAAACAAATTTACTTAAAACATTGTTTTTATGCCTCTTAATAACATTGTAACACAGTAGAGCTGTAAATATATTGTAGAGATTAAAAAACCTATATAATTGAAAGAAACATGGTCGTCTCTGAAGCCGGAAACATTGCCATGGTACGTTGCACTGGTGATGTTGCATCCAGCTGGTCCACTAGAGCCAAGAGCCTTTCTTTCCACTTCCTCCAAGTAAAGTTTGGCTACAATAGGTGACACGGGGGAGCCCATGGCGCAGCCATGTTTTTGTCTGTATCAAATCTCTTTTAAAGGGAGAGCACCCAGCCACTGGTACAGATATGCGGATGACACCTGGGTCAAAATCAAAACACAAGAAGTGGAATCCTTCACTACGCACATCAACGCCGTGGACAAAAATATCAAGTTCACCAGGGAAAACATAAAGGACAACTGCTTGCCTTTCCTGTGCACTTTGAAGAAAATGGCAACCTCAACATTGAAGTGTAGCGGAAGCCCACACACACGGACCAGTACCTCCTCTTCAACTCACATCACCCTCTGGAACACAAACTTGGAGTAATCAAGACCCTACACCACCGAGCAGAACATGTTCCCTCTAAGCCGGAAGGGAAAAAGAAGGAACACACACATATAAAGGAATCACTTAAAACATGTGGCTATCCTAATTGGGCGTTGATAAAGTCAGCAAAGATGCACAGAAAAGAAGACCAGACACCAGCGAGGGAGGATAAGAAAGACAGATGCAACAACCTTGTCATCCCCTATGTAGCCGGTGTATCAGAGAAACTCAGGAGGGTTTTCTCCAAAAACAACATACCAGTGTACTTCAGACCCAGCAACACACTCAGACAGAAAATGGTTCACCCGAAAGACAAAACTCCTAAACACAAACTGAACAATGTGGTGTATGCTGTACAGTGCAGCGAGGAATGCCCAGACCTCTACATCAGAGAAACCAAACAGCCACTTCACAAGCGCATGGCACAACATAGAAGAGCCACCTCCACGGGACAGGACTCAGCAGTTCATTTGCATCTAAAGGACAAAGGTCACTCTTTCGAGGATGCCAACGTTCACATTTTGGACAGAGAGGACAGATGGTTTGAAAGAGGAGTAAAGGAAGCCATTTATGTCCACTGTGAGCAACCATCTTTGAACAGAGGCGGTGGTTTACGACACCAACTGTCTGCCATCTATAATCCAGTTCTGAGATCCCTTCCCAGATGCCTCAATGCCCACGCATATCCTGGGCCATCTGACCTCAGGAATTCACATGATAGGGTGGGGCCAGGCTTCACAATGAGCTCACCCGAAACTCTGGCTGTCTGTCTATTACAAAAACTGACTCTGGATCTGTACAATAAATAGCCCAATCACATCGATAGGGCCTACTCTCGCGAGAAACTGTAAGGTTATATAAAACACCTTCTTTGTCATATTATATTGGAATGAGAAGTCGTTTATAGAACGTTATTATCAAATTGATAATGTACGATAATTTGTACTGAAAAACGATAATTTAGGCCTCTCTGTACAATATTGTGGGATTTTGGATCTGGCAACACTGACCCACACCCACCCTCACACCTGGGCTCATGTGTTTATGTAGAAGATCATCAGGGGGTCTTTTGTTCCCTCGTCGGGGGGAAACTCCCACTGGGTTTGAATCTGGGACTCTCCACCATTTGACCTTAGAACTGAAGAAGCCTCTTGGATGAGAGGTGAAACATCTTCAAGCAACTCAAAGAAGTCCAGACGCTTTTCTTTCAAAGCTCCTTAGACCAAAAGCATATTTGAAACGTTCTGTAAAGCTGACTCCCTGTCTGTCGTGTTTAAGAGGAGTTTAACTATCTTTCTGTGAACCACTACTGACAGAAGTCTGACTGAACACAACAACAAACTCTTCAAAATAAAGTAAATCTTCATGCAATAAAATCAGCCAGCTGCCAAGATGTTATGCTTATATCAAGTATAAATTCCTGACACGTGTATACTCAGTTTGAATTATTTTGCTGGATTACAGAACAACTTGGAACAAACGTTAAACCAGAAAAAATACTTGACAGCTAAATTATCACATGCTAAACTACAAACTCACAATCTGCCAGTGATGTCCACGGTGTCGTATAAATATCTAGAACTCAATAATTGCGTAACGTTGGGAATGTATTGCAAATGCATCACATCTCCTGCTACGATTAGCTACCCCTCTCAGCTGAGACTTGATGGCTAATGCTAGCTAGCATCTCACCGATTAATAATAGTAAGTTCAACTGTCTTACCTCCACTTAGTTTAGGAATTTTGCCGATTTTGTTAGTTATTTCTGCGGTGACTGTTCCAAAGTCCTGTTCGTAGGCTTCGAAGTCAGAAGACATTCTGTCGAACGAGTTTAAAATGAGTATTAGCTATCTGACTGTCGGTTACCTCAGAATAATAACAACAATCCTCGAATGGAGTCTCTTCCTGTAGTTGCACTGAAAACAGCTCGACGAGAAACTAGAGGATTTGTTTGATAGTACTAGTTCGATACGTGCCGAATGCGTTTACCTCTCCATTCGAGTTTTTCGTAATATTATTTTAAAAAAATTGACAATTTAATTGTTTGCATTTAAACGTATCTGTAATAGTTTAGGGATTTTGGCTTCTGAAGCACGGCGAGAAAGGTTCCTAGTTTGTCCACCGGAGAAAATCTACGGCAAAAGACAAGGAAGTGACTAGGTTGGTAATTTAAAGTGACAGTTTTTTCGCCTCTCACAAATTTAAATCAAACACTTATCTTTAATAATATTAATAATAGCTTCATATCCGCGTGTCATCTTTGCGTTTTAGGGTAACAATAATGCTTTAGAGGTTAGTCGTGTTGGCAAGCTGGCTAACTAATGTTAGTTCGCTAACTGCTGCCACTAGATCCAAAGACCGAATATCTATTTTTATATATTTATTAACCGAGTAGGCACTCTGATAATCACACATCTACAAAATATATCCGATCCTGATTGGTCGAGTTATACTAGCTGACAGAAATGCTGACTAAAGAGTCGCCATGTTTATATCACTGTGTCAAATTAGCTAGCTTGGTAACAGAAGCTAATTAATTGTCAATGTGCAGGTGCAAATGGTGTGAGGTTGGATACTCATTTAAATATTTTATTTTGTTTAATTTAAAACCAGAGAGATACTTGTTGCATTTAGTAAAGTGGAAAAGAAAAGATCCTCATGTTTAGTGACAGTATTACCATCAACAGAAGAGGAAAAGATTTGCTACGATAGAAAATGAGAGAAATTCTGCATAAATTATGAATCAAACAAGATATGATCTTCTGAAGGATGCTGCATCTCTCAAGTCTAAGCTGATTTTTTATTTTTCCGGGGAAGAATAATTATTATATGCATGCTTGCCTCCGAAGTACTTTACATTTACACACTTGCACTTTAAACCACTATGTTAATGTTTTTTTTTTAATTATTATTTTATTTCTGTCTGACAGATGGGGAACTTTAGTTTCTCACGAGGATAGTGTGCTTCGGGTGTTGGCAGGAGACGATGCTGGTCTTCACCGGGTCATGGATTAATGGGACACAGGGAGCCCAAGTTACTCAAGACCAGGACGCTTGCTGGGTACTCGGTAGAAGAGATAAATTATGTGCATTGTGTGCACCGTTAACAGCACAAGGTAGCAGAGGAAGCGCGTAGCACATCCAACGTGGGTCAATACATCTCAGAAAAGTAGAAAACTGAACTAATCTTCATGTGAGAAAATGAATTTCCTGTCAACCATTGTGACATTCGAGAACCTCCATGAGGTTCGAAGATTGTGCCACTGGGGTCCAATCATAGCTTTGTCTGTCATAGCTATTTGCTCAACCATGGCAATAATAGACTCCATCATTTGGTACTGGCCGCTAGACACCACAGGAGGAAGCATTAACTTCATCATGCTCATCAACTGGACTGTGCTCATTCTCTACAACTACTTTAATGCTATGTTTGTTGGACCTGGATACATTCCTCTGGGCTGGAAACCAGTAAGATTTACTCGTTTTTATTAGTGACTTTTACATAAACGTTTGAGCAACTTTTGCACAGTGTCCTGAAGTATAGCAAGTCTGGTATCTGACTTAACAGTTTCATTTTTGAACAGGAGAATCAGCAGGAAGCCCAGTATCTGCAGTACTGCCGAGTGTGCCAAGGGCACAAAGCCCCCAGATCCCATCACTGTCGAAAGTGTAACAGGTAAAAGATGTGCGTGAAATCTGCCAAGGTCAATTTCACCTGTGTGGAATAAACAATATTTGCTTTTAAAAGCTACGTGCTGGACCTGGCTACTGCAAGAGTAGATTTTTTTAAGATGTTGTTCATTATCAGCCTAGAACATTTGCCTAAACATCCTTACCACTTGATGTAGATTGAGTTTAAGGGTTTTCTTTTCCATAATTATCAGTCTCTGTTTTTATAATTGTAATTATCGTCCCCATGGACAGGAGTCCTTCTCAGATTTATTGTTCTTTTCTTGTGCCATATCACCTAAGAGGACCTGCTAGCTCTGTTTCTTCTCCTCTTTGTCAGGTGTGTGATGAAGATGGACCACCACTGCCCCTGGATCAACAACTGCTGCGGCCACCTTAACCACGCCTACTTCACCAGCTTCCTGCTGCTGGCTCCACTCGGGTGCTCGCACGCAGCTATAATCTTCATCATGACCATGTACACACAGCTGTATGAGAGGGTGAGGAGGCTCCTTGCATTTTAATGGCTTCTTCTTACATTTCTAAAATAAAACCTCCCTTTTGGCCTTTTTTAATCTGCAGATATCGTTTGGCTGGAGCACAGTAAAGATTGATATGAGCGCTGTGCGTCAGTTCCAACCCCTCATGCCCTTCAGTGTCCCTGCTTTCGCTGCCACACTCTTCGCCTTAGGTTTGGCATTAGGCACCACTATCGCTGTCGGAATGCTTTTCTTCATTCAGGTGGTTTCATTTTATTTTAATTTTGATGAGATTCACTGTTTAGACAAGCTATTTGCTATAGAACATGACAAATAAATGTAATATTTAACCACAGCCTAGAAAAATCACATGTGAACATGTGGCATAACAACTAAAAATACTTAAACAAGGTTTATTTTAATATATGTAAAGTAGAAGTTTGTTTCTAATCTTTATGGCACATTGATTAAAGCATCAAGTAAACATGTAAATGTATTTTAGGTCTGTCGGACAAAGAAGTGCAGCTTAGAATATTAAAGGCACAGAAGCCGGAGTGTGTTTAAACAATAGTTCACTTTAATTATGTGATGATAAGATATTTTACTGCATATGAATTTGTAATCAATAATACAGCAATGTTTTTGTTTCTAAAAATGGGTTTTAACTGACTGTTAATAAAACATTATTTTGTTTTCAGATGAAAGTCATCCTCCGAAATAAGACCTCGATCGAGTCCTGGATCGAGGAAAAGGTATTTGTAAAAAAATACAACATCTACAGATAATTTAGAAAGTCATTGATTGTTTTATATTTAAGTAAAGTATTTTGTTGCTGTTGTCGTGTTTTCTACTTTTGATCATCAAAGCAAAAATCCAGTGTTTTCTCTCAGAGGACACCATCTAGAGGCAGAAAAATGTACTGCAGCTTAAAGTGAAGATATGTATTTTTCCTGGTGATAGGGGGCAAAGTTTTGAAACCATTTGTTACAAATGAGTAAATTAATTTTGTCCTCACAGGCTCCTGTAGAAAGAAACATGGTGTCTATTCAATTCAAGTTTATTTATATAGCGCAAAATCACAAGAGTTGTCTCAAGGCACTTCACGTAGTAAACATTCCAATACAGGTCAGTTCATTAAGCCAATCATTAAAACGTTTCCTATATATAACCCAGCTAATTTACAGCAATCCTCATACTAAGCAAGCATGTAGCGACGGTGGAGAGGAAAACTCCCTTTTAACCGGAAGAGACCTCCAGAGGATCCTGGCTCAGTATAAGCAGCCATCCGCCACGACTCACTGGGGATCAAGAAGACAGAGAGCACACACACACACACACACAACATATATACCATGTAGTGTTTCTGTGGTTACATTGTGACTTCTTAGTAAATATTCTATTTGGTGAGAGATAAACTTTATTGTATTTATCCTAGTAACTCTATAATTAAATGGGTAAACTGGTAGTAGCACATTCAATGTCAAAGAAAGTGAAGTGTTATTATCAGGAGAGGGAGAATGTTTAAATGGTTAGCAACAGTGTTCAAGCTGATGGCCCCCTCCATGAGGCCACCACAGCTCAGCAGAACATCATTGTAGCTTCTTCTGGCGAGAAAAACACTTAGAGAAAAAATAAAGTTAACAGCTGAAATAGCAGGAAATAATACAGTTAAAGAGCAAATAGTAGTAGAAAGTAGTAGAGTGTGGAAATTGGTCAGTATGTCCTCCAGCAGTCTAAGCCTATAGCAGCATAACTACAGAGATAACTCTGAATAACCTTGCCAATGTCTAATATGGCATCACCCAGAGACTTGGGCCCAATTCCAATACTCGCACTTCCACCCTTGCGCCCTCAAATGCGCGATCCTGACCAGGGTTGCGAGTGCGTAGGGTGTCCTGATTCTCAAATGTGGAAGTTGATCACGCCCCTTTTGCACCCTTGATCCGCACTTCACCAAGTCCGCATCGATGTGGACTTGGGTGAAGGGTATTACCAACAATCCATTGCTGTGGGAGGAAAGGTTCAAATTCCATTTCTGAAAATATGTATTTTGTAATGAAATTAGTTCATTTTAAGACGATTAGTTGATGCTCTGAATGTTCTAGACATAGCAGCAATGAATGTAAATTTATTTCAAATTACTGGTTGTTTGTTTGAAAGTCGTTAATAAAGGTTTTACCAAAAAAAATATCAGCGACCAGCATCCTGTCATGCATTGCGATCGATGACGCAATGCTCCCTGTCTTAATTCGGCTATTATTTGCACACTTGTGTACCATGCACTCGAAGCCTTACAGCGCACTTTCTCCAAGTGCACTTTGCTGAAGACCGCAGGGTGAGTATTGGGATTGGGCCTTGGAAATGCTCCCATGTGTTTTAGACCCGTTTTTATGGTTATGTGTTTTGAAGCTGCCAATATTCTTCAACAACTGGGCATCATTTTGTTCATTTTTAACAACATTTTGATGAATGTTTACAGAGATCAATGATTTAAAAAACTACACTTCGTCTCTTTAAGCCTCTCTCCCTACTTCTGTGATTTACGGCTAGACGCAACACCTCACGTTTGTGTGAGCACACACCTCTAACTGGCCAATAGAGCTAAAACACATTGTTTTACAATTATTATTCTCATCTTATGTTTGTTCATAGATTTTGAAAGACCTACTTATCCATGAGAAATGTTGCCAACTGTGCATGAGTCTAGTTACTTCCACAAACGCACGCATGCTCTGATTAACATCTGTATGTAAGCGGGTGTCGAACGCTATGTAATAACTAGATTATACCTCAATACAGCGTAGGAGAATCGCTTTTGCAGATTTCTGGGGGGGAAAAATTAGGTAATTCCTGAAAGGGGGAAAACTCTGGATTGCTGCTTTAATCTTTTATCCGTGATGAAAAGACAAACTTTCCTTTGTTAAACATTTTAAAACTGTCCCTGTGATTAGCTTTTCAGACCAGTGAAATCAAATATAGTTTTCCTGTTTTTTCCATTAGGCCAAAGACAGAATACAGCACTACCAAACCGAGGAGGAGTTCATCTTCCCGTACGACCTCAGCAGCCGCTGGCAGAATTTTAAGCAAGTCTTTACATGGTCGGGGACACCCATTGGGGATGGTATCGTGTGGCCGGTTCATCCCAAGTGTCACCAGCACACCTTAACTGTAGGTTCTGTGACGATTCATGCTTTTGTTTCGTTTTCTCATATTAAGGATCAATACACAACTGGAGCATTTTCCCGTTGATCATCAGCCTTGGTACATTTTAGGTTCAGTTGTAATGATTTCTCTCTTTACATAAACAGATAGAGCAGCTGAAGCAGAAAGCTGATAAACGAGTGAGAAGTGTAAGTACCTGCTGGGTTGATTAGAGCCAATCATGAACACATGTGGGATTTTAAATAATCCGTCCTTCGCTCTAGAGCAGTGGTTCCCAATCTGGGGTCTGTGACACCCCCCCCCCCCCCCCCCCCAAGGGGTCCCTAAAAGGTTGCAGAGGGCCGCCACATTTTTGTGCATGCTGAGGTTGAGATGTTACCAAGATTATACCTGTAAAAATTACATTCATTAAATCCAGATAACACACCCAATAGTACAATTTTAACTCTGTATGTCTGTATAAAATTTGTAATTATTCACTTTTAATTGTGTGCATGTGAATAGGCGTTGGGGTTGGGGGGGGGGGGGGGGGGGGGGGCTCTGGCTTGTCTTGGACACAGGAAAGGGGGTCCTTGTAAGAAAAGGTTGGGAACCACTGCTCTAGAGCATTATTATAACCTGATGTTTGGTGGCCTTGACCAGCAGGTCCAGTACCAGGTAGTGGAGGATTACAACGGGGCTTGTTGCCCTGTCAACAAGGGGATCCAAACCTTTTTCAGAACCCCCTGCACCGAGGAACCCAGGATCCCCCTCAGCAAGGGGGATGTCATCCTGGCTACTCGTGGCACAAAGTACGTTTATTTACTCAGAATTAGAAAGTTTTTATTTTAGCTGTGCATTCATTTATAGTGTTAACATTTCCTCACTAGATGGTGGATGTATGGAGACAAAGTTCTGCACGATGATAAACTGAGAGGTAGGAAAATAGCGTTTCCAGTCCTAAATGATCGACTTGGTCTTTTTTTTTTTCTCGGAGACACAACATGGTACTTTTGTTGTTTTGCAGCTGGAGAACGTATACGGGGATGGTTTCCAAGGAGGTGTGTCGAGAAGTGCCATTATGACACAGCTTCCAGCGACAGCACCAGCGATAAGAAAGTGAATTAATACACGTTTGCAGGCTTTACTTAGGGCAGGGAGGCAGAACTGAGCAGAGGTTTATAAATGTACGTCTACTGAAGATGTCACGCCTGAGGCTGAACTTATAGAATTCAATCCTTTTGATTAAGCTCACACCTTAAGTTGCTAAGGCTGAATTAAAGTCTTACCGAGCACTTTTAGTTCCTGTAAGGACTTCGTTTGACTTCTCTGACCAAAAGAATTAAAAAAAAGTCTTAATTTTCAAGAATTGCCAACAGGCTTTTATGTGACTTCGTTATAATTGTGATTATTTTCTACTTGAATGTTTCTTCTACTTTTGTTGATCTATTTTTCCTACTTATGCAATGCCTCGGCCCAGCTAACCCCAGGGCATCATAATGCAACTCTTTCTACAAAATGGAGATAACGCTTCATTACTTTTTATTATTTTTGTAAAAACACTGTTTGCCTCAAAGTATAACATGCAGATAAAAAAAAATACCTCCCACAAGTGTGGTTATTTGTCTCCATTTTTGTAATTGCCATAAATTCCCTTGTTATAAGACTTAAGAGTCCCTGAAGTGCCCCAGGCTTAAGAAAATAAATTGTGTAGCTTAGAGATAACCATGTCTATTATTATGCCAACAGACTTTGTCAAATATTGCCTTAAAAGTAGCTATAAATATATAAATGCTTTCTTTTTCCTGTCAGTGAATAAATTCTCTCTGGCTTCCCAGTTAAACTTTTTAATGTGAAAACTCTTTTAGGTTCACTGTGTTTAAAAAATCCTCATATTTTAATGTTTAAAATAAAATAAATTTTTCTGAAAATGATTGCAATAGTGGTTGAAGTTTGAAGCATTCAAGTTTAGATATGCAGGTGGTCATAAAATTAGCCTTGGATGACAAAGGGGATCCAAAATACTTGTAAAAAAATGAACACATTATATAAGCTATTTATATTACACAACCAAAGAAGCTGAACAAAAATATAAAACATAAAAATAAATTCATTAATATAATGAGGATGTGTAGAAGGAATTATAGTAATTTGATAAGAATAAAAGTAATATCAAAGGAATATGGAAAGTGTTAAATACAATAATTAAGCGCTATGAGGGCATAAACCATCCAGATTATTTTGTCAGTAATTACTGTGACATTTATGATAGACAGCTGATAGAAAATTTCAATGATTTTTTTGTTGGGGTTGGTCAAAACTTAGCAGGCAAATAAATAGTTATGTGGAGTCTGAATCCAATGGTTATGGTGAGTTGGACGGTGTGGTGGATTCATTACTACTTGAAGAAGTGACTCAAAAGGATATTTGTGAAACTGTCAGTGTATGTAAAACTAAATTCTCATCAGATGGAGATGGCAAAGATATGTTTTTAGTTGAACAAACTATTGATTGTACTGTTGAACCTCTCACGTATATATGTAATTTATCATTTAAAACAGGAATATTCCCAAATAAAATGAAGGTGGCTAAGGTGGTTCCTCTTTACAAATCTGGCAATAAGCATCAATTTACAAACTATAGACCGGCCTCCTTGTTACCTCAGTTTTCAAAGATATTGGAAAAAATTTACAATGACACTTTTTGAATGGAATAACTGAAATAAATCAACTTCTTTGTGATATTCTAATGTTATGACCAGCATAGATTCAATATAAATTTAGTGAATGCAATCATAAATTGTATACACAGGAACCTTTCATATATATTCAACATGGTCTGAGCATAGGCGTCATTTTAACCGGGGACGCCGGGGACATGTCCCCGGCAAAATTCGTGATCGGCAGCTGTGTCTCCCCCCCCCCCCCCACACACACACACACACACTTTCAAAAAAGCCTGCTGATGAGGATTTTTGTTTTACCTGCTCAGATCTTATACCAGGGGTCGGTAACCTGTTCCCATCAAAGAGCCATTATTACCCATTTCCCACGGAAAAGAAAACACCGCAGTAGCCGCAGCGTTGCGGGCGGGGCCTACCCTCAGACAGCAGAGCGCTGCTCACAACAGGTGACAGCAGCCGGGGGCTTCGCACCCGTGGGGGATTCAACACCCACACTTTTCCAGCTGTTTTGCTCACCTCCACACCAGTCTGGTTTCTTTACGTCGCACTCACTCTGCCTCATCTCCTTCTTCACCTCCCAGCCGATGTCGGGTTTCCAGGAGAGCAGGAGAGGGAGGGACGGAAGAGCTCGACTGAATTCATAATTTTACATCTTGACATTAGCTGTACAAAGTCTGAGTTTGACAAAGTGAAGAACAACAATTTGCAGAGGTTTATAACTGGCGGTGGGCCACGGTAATTTTGGACGGACCTTAATAAGCAGAGACTTAAGTGAAGCAGGCAGGTCGCGCTAGAAAATTTAGTTTAAAAAGACGTCATAAATGTTTTCCCCAGTCATTTTTATTTCTAAAATATGAAGTAAAAACTCACAATTTAATTTTCATTCATTTGTCATTAATATTTAGTCTACAACCGTGCGTTAAGTGGACCAACTTCCAGTAAACGCAAAGCATCCAGTCCACCTCTCCAAATGCGTAAAATGTGCATCAGCCGCTAGGCGTGCCGCGCAGCACCATCAGCTGATCAGCCCAGACAAAAGCAGAGCAAATAGAGAAAGAATAGAGGATGATTGTGTCTGGATGTGGATGGAGATTACATTTTACATCAGCCTGATCATCATTTAAATACGTAAACCATCACCTGTCTTCTATCCATGCTATCAGCATTATTTTAATTGGTGTGTGTGTGTGTGTGTGTGTGTGTGTGTGTGTGTGTGTGTGTGTGTGTGTGTGTGTGTGTGTGTGTGTGTGTGTGTGTGTGTGTGTGTGTTTTCCACTTCAAACACTGGTCTAACCAACCAGACCAGCGTGTCCAGTAACACATTAATGTTACAATTAAACTTGATTAACCCCAGAGCCACGCGCACTGCGCTGTACTGACTGTAAATGAGGGGGAAACTATTTAATCGGATCCTTTTCTTTTCAACATGGTTTAATGTAAAGTTTCATTCAGTACAAACTTTAGTTACACCAATCTAACGAGACAGAGCCTAGATTTGTATTCTGAACAGTTTAAACATGTTTGAAACGGAGACGTGCGTGACGCCTCTAAAATTCGCACCTGCTCCGCTATTACGGAAATTAAACTAACAAGATGAATAACATGAACTTATAGGCACAGACAACATCCCCCACACTTTTGAAAAGCTTGCAACGCGCCTGATCGCTCATGTACGTCTTAATTATCTTTCATTAGACGATAATCAATAAAACAATTTATATAAAATGGATCCAGAAGTTGTAGCCCGTCTCTGCCTTCAATTTTTGGTATTTTTCACCCTGTTGATGGTTTTACTGAGCAGGTGCCACTTTTGTCCTATGTTTCTTTTTAAAACATGTTTAGACTGTTCAGAATACAAATCCAGGCTCTGTCACGTTTGATTGGTGTAATTAAACTTTGTAGGTGGGGTTAGGTCAGAAAGCAGCTCAGAAGCGCCGATATGATTACGCACAAGGGTGACGCATCAACCCGGTCTCACAGTAAGACCGGGTTGGAACTGTTCAGGTTTACGCAGACAATCTTTACATTTAGAATTAGCTTACAGATGTAAAATTAATGCAGTAAAATATAAAGCTTTTTATTTAAATATCCATTCATTATTTCACAAGCACAGAGAGCCGCATCAGAAGGATGGAAGAGCCGCATGCGGTTCCAGAGCCGCCGACCCCTGTGCTAGCCTACTTTATTGTCCCCAGCAATTTTTAAACCCCACTCAAGTGTATGGTTATTGTCCCCAGCAATTCTGAAAACAAACTGACGCCCTTGGGTCTGAGTAGCCTCTAAATTTGTACATTTGCAGTGACCCTTGCTGACTGATTCAGGCTGGCACGACGAATTTATTGGAAAAAGAAAACCTGTCTAGCTAATAAAGCCTGCTGCGCATAAACATGTGCAAATAATTCCGCATAAACAGATTTTTGTGAAATTAATAAGACTGTCCGACCAGTTGACAAATTAAACTCTGAGATATGTGAGACACAGGTACGTCTTTCAGAGTGCACAGCAGGTATTTAATCAAATTTCAGGTTTTTATCAATGGTGTGCAAATGAAGTCACGTGATCATCCAGTCCAGTTCACGTGTGAGTGGGTCTGCTCCATTTTGTATCTCGTAGTCCTAATTCGGCTTGGCAAAAAACAGCAAGCGGGACGATCTGTCCGAGATAGCGCTGATTATTGTCAAAATTGTTTTTTACAGCAGAATTTTGATCAAAACAGAGAAACAAGCTTTGTGCAAATGAGCAGATTCACGGGCCTTGCGTTCTTTGCCCGACCGGGACGTACGCCGGCGTGTAAAGGTGCAGACATAGTAACTTCCTCACTGGTATTTGGAGCGATCCCTCTTAGCTGTGTGCACTGGTCTAGTTGTCAGAGGAGCCATATGTATATATAGTAAATATGTGTGCAGGTTATCATCTTCTCTGCACGAATACTCCAGTATTCACCTCGCTGTAGATGTCTGCTAATCTGTAGGTAAGTCGCAGATTGTGAATCCAGAATGACCTACAGTTGAGTGTTTATGGGCCTTTAAATGTTATTTCTGAGTAAATACAAACTGCAAATAGCTTTAATCCACATTACTGTCACGGTTAAATCTTTGTCTTCTTCGCTTTGAGTTCATTTTTTCTCGTCTTGCCGCTACTTTTTGATAGCGTTACTGTTGTAGCACTAGCTAGCTAGCTCTAAGTTCATCGCAGGACTTTGTAAACACCGAGTAACGGGTAGCTCAGTACTCGTTACCAACACGTTTAGAGTATTTATTAGTTAGTAACTGACTAATTGTAACCATAAATGGGTTCATATTAAGTTTATCCAGTTACATATCTGGGATCAATATGATGCACTTTGTGGTGTTACAAATGAATCTGTTACTAACATGTTTAGCGTTTGGGGGCACTTTGTTGATGCCTGTAAAAATATATTTTAAAAAGAGTTAGTTCTTATCATGTAACCGTATGGCACAGTTCCACGGGGTTAAAATGTTAGCTAAACCCCGTTACCAGCAACGTGGGAACTGGAACATAGACAGGAGTATAGATAATTAAATAGTTGTTCACCATAGTTTCAGGCAACATGACAGAGCCCATAGAGATGTTGTTCTCTTAAATCTAATCATTGCCACATTGCTTCTTCGAAGTGACAATGTGGTTTCACAGGAGCAACAGAAATGTTAACTGTCTGGTAAAAGTCAGACATTACTAATTGGTAATAAGTCAGCATCACTTAAATGATTTTTGATATAATATTTTGTGTTTTTACATCTGTTAAGAACCACCAAGACACAAACTAACAGCATTAATGAAATCACACACATGATGTATTTTTGATCAACTTTAAAATAAACTCCATCTCATTTGGGCTTATTTTCAACAGTGCATTAAGGCAAATAAGCCATGTCCAAAGTGTGGCCTGGGGGCCATTTGCGGCCCTCGGAGTGATTGTGTTTGACCCCTGATTGCATTTCCTTCATGGTTGAATTTTTTTTTCTCCAGCTGTTTCGATGTAAATCAACAGACTTTGTGGATTTTATGTGAATTTTTTTAGCAACATGTTGTCTTATTTTTCAGCAGTACAAATTTAAAAATCACTAACACGTTTCTTGCATTTTTTTTTATTTTATTAGTAAACAAATTTTTGTGGTACAGAATTGACTTAACTTGGGAATTTTGTTGCAAAATAGCTTTTATAACACAAAAGCATTGTTTACTACAACTAAGACATGGTTTTGCCCTTGCATTACAAAGTTGTCTTTGTCTAGAGCAGCCATACTGACTAATCATCATCCTGCATTCATTTTGTGGTTTTAGGCACTGTGACGTAATTAGCCCATCCCAGTTACAGCTCAGTGCTAGTATTCAAAACTTCTGCTAAAGAAGCTTTGTCTTCTTTCTTTTCCAGTGTGAGTCTGCACCCTAACAGCGACTCCTCACATCCCTGTGACATCGGAGACTAACATGTTCAGCACAGGCATCCTTGTGTTGACGTCTCCTCTCCAAACCCTCCCTTTACGTATCGCTCCAGTGCTCAGCTCCGCTGCTCAGCTCGTAGATCGCACGCTGTATGTCCACCTCCATCCTGGGCTGAACCTGGGAAGTGCCATCCAGCCTCGACCGGTTTTTATCCCCCCAGTAGTGGAACTGTCCACACTCATCACACGCCTTTACAGCAATGCAGCAGATGTATGCGGACACCTAGATGTTCGTGTATTGCTGACTAATATACGTGCTTGCAGTGGGAGCACAACTCCAAACACCCCCTTTCCCACACCGCACCATCTGTTTCACTCTCCTGAGGTAGTGCTAACAGACTTTGCGCCACAAGATTCTCTTCAGCCTCATGAGGTCACTCAGTATTTGGAGAAATACACATGTTGTTGCTACGCCTGTAAGCCCAATATCCCGCTGGTGCTGCTCCAACCACAGCTCCTTAAGCAGCAGGAGAAAGAGGACTGTTTGATGAATGAAGAGAAGAAGGCGAAACCTCTGGAGACCTACAGCGACGTTGTGGTAGGAGGGACGTTTGACCGTCTGCATGGAGCCCACAAAACATTACTCAGCATCTCCTGTCTCCTGGCCAGCAGAAGGATTGTCATTGGTGTGTGTGACCGAGCAATGCTTAAAAGTAAGTAATCAGATTACATTCAACTTCTCATATTGGTTTGATCAGATAAATCAAAAGCCAGTCTTTCTGACATTGGGTTTCTCTCTGGTTCTAGAGAAAGTTCTAAAAGAGCTGATTGAGCCATACTCTGTGCGTGTGCAGAAGCTGCAGGAGTTTCTGAAAGACACCAAACCATCGCTGCAAGTGGAGATTGTGCCTCTTGATGACCCCTTTGGAGTGTCTGTAGTGGACCCCCAGCTGAAGTGCATTGTGGTTAGTGAGGAGACTAAAAAGGGAGGCGAGGCTGTCAACAAAAAGCGTTTGGAGAATGTAAGTCTGGATTAGAACATGCATCAAGATTAAAATGTGTTTTTGTCTCTCCATATTTTCCATGAATGCACAACTGCATTCTGATTTCATCAAAAGTGAGTGAACACTGGATAACTAAAAAAACAGTTTTGTAACCATTGTTTTCAGTGTTTGATAAAAAAAATTAATAATAAGCTAGCTAAACTCACCTGAGATTACCTGGATTTGGCTTTTCAGACTTTACTCTTGTCTTCCTCTAAAAAGAACCTTAAACCAAGCCTGCTCTGAGTCTCATGTGCTGTCTGCTTTCCATACCAGGGCCTTCCAGCTCTCGTCCTTCATGAGATCCTGTTGCTTAAGGACATCCACCGCAACGAGATAGAAGAGGAGAAGATCAGCTCCTCCAGCCTGCGCTCCCGTCTGCTGGGCACCCTTCTGAGACCACCTAAAGTGAGTGCTGGAGAAAACTGTCCATTCTAGATTTCTGGGAACATAAATGTTAGCTCATCAGCTCAGAAAATCAGAGAACCTTCTGTAGTTCTGAGGGTCTACTACCCAAAACGTTACCTGAATTTAAGTTTCCAAACTAGGTCAAGGTGAGATAGGTGAGACATTACATGGCATTACAGGAGACTGGACTTAAAGACTGATTAAACAAGATTTTTGGACAGAAAACGAAATATTTGCTGCATCTGGAGAATAACAAACAGAAAGTGTTTCATTCAGCAAGACAGCCACCCTAATTGCACAAGTCGATCCACCAACTAAATGTGAGAGGAAAGACCATAAAGGTTTGAAGTCAAGACTAATCTAGTTGTAAGTTAAGACAGTTCAGTGACTCATTTTTTTCTCATTCTAGAGGCTATCAGTAGTGAAATATACCTGTTACAAGATGATAGTCACAACTTACCAGAGGGTTAGGTGAAGGGCAGACGACTACTAACGGATGGTTGCCAGTTCAAGCCCAGGTTCCCACACCATCTATTTTTTTCTTGGAGTCTCTAGATTAAGAAATGGTGTAATTAGGGCTGCACGATATTAGGAAAACCTGTAATATTCGATAACAGTGCTTAATATTGCGATATCGATTTTACTCGCGATAAATGAACAAATACTAAAGTATGCAGTGTTGATGTTGTCTGGCGTGTGACGTCTGCTCTGGGTTCAAAGCAAACAAAAACTAATGCATGAATTCCATTACAACACAACATTTTTATTGAAAAAATATGCAGCTGCACCTGCTACTGTATTAGCAGCAAAACAACAAACTGCATGCATGCAGTTTCTCAGTGACTTTAAAACATCACCTCCACCATAAAACTTTTTCTGATGCTCCAAATACAGAAAAACATCCCTTACCAGGGTTTTTGAATAAATAAAAAAACAGAAAATAAGTTTAAATGTTAAATAATAGTTAACATCACTTAAACGCAACAGCAAATTCTCTCATTGCTACTGAACATTTTCTCCACTTATGTGGTTATGATATAAGGCTGTTGCTGCAATTGGGAAGTGAACTGTGCTGGGCCAAACTAGGAGAACATTAAGTTTTTTGGAGGGAAACAGAAAAACAATTGTCTACCTTTCAGAAGAGGAACTGGCAAAAAACTACATGGAAAATATGTGAAAACGTTTGTTTTTAACCCCAAATTGAACAAGTTTACCTAGATCTTAAAAAGCAGCTCAGATGATGAAACTGCAACTATGATTCTGATAACAAGCTAACAAATTGAGCTAGCTCCTCTAAGATAACCGGCTAGCAGAGCTTCTGACTGACAGTTTATGTGCAGCAGCAAATCAACTATCCTGATAAACAAGGTTATAAAAGCTCATAAAGGAAAAATCACTTTGATGTGTGGGGGAACTTTTCCAGGCCCACTTTAGCAGGGTGGGACTGGGAGGAGAGTGCTGTATCTCTAGCTGGAAGCTAACCGGAGCCTGGGGCTACATCACCACCCGGTGGAACACTAGCGACATGGAGGTAGGAGGGTTGGTTCACCAGCACGTGTCGGAGTCAGCCCGGTTATTATCAGCTGCTTTACGACACCGAGCGGACTCACGTTCACGTTTGAAAGCAGCGCTGTTTCCATCCTAAGGGTCTACGTAGGGGGTGGGCGTATTACGTGAACGGACCCATCTGATTGGCTGCATATCAGAAGGGCTACATTTGATTGGTCAAATAACACTTCCGCATAAAAAACAGAGCTGGTTTACAAAAAGTTGATGTATGACACGGATGGAAATGTTTGAACCAAACATTTATCGCCGTTTTTGACGTGCTTTGCGATGGGCCTATTGCACGTCCTGTTATCGCAATGACGATAATTTTTTGATATATTGTGCAGCCCTAGGTCTAATCTGAATTAGACTTCATTGTTTAGACTTAAAATAAACGTAAGAATAATTTACTTTTCTAAATTGGACCATCTTTTTTTTTTCTTCTTCTTTTTGTAAAAACTGTAAAAATCTGGGTCGGATGTAATCAAAAGGGCAGAAAATGCTAATCTGTCATCTATCACTGTATTGATGAAATCATCATCTTTTAACTAGTTATGAACGGGTTAGCTGTTTATTTGTTTTTTATTTATATAATTTTTCTGAACATGTATAGGTGACACTGTGTTTAGTAACTTATTTACCAGATAGAAGTGTGTATATATATATATATATCTATATATATAAATATATACATATATACATATATATATATATATATATATATATATATATATATAAAGAAATAAATACACACACACACCATACATATAAACATCTACACCCACAGACATATGCGTGCATGCACGCACAATACATTTTTAGTCAGATGTAATTGACACCTGACCTGATTAAAGAAGTAATAGCAATAAACTCTTTTATGATAAAAATATATTCCAATACCAATAATAATGTTCTATAGTGCACTGTCATTCAGAATACATGCACTAAAGGAGTAGGAAGAAGCTTCCGCTTATTTAATCCCACCCCTTCACAATATCCAACCACTAATTAGAGGTTCATTTAATCCATGTTTTCCTTATGTTTTCCTGCCTTAGGGGCAGCAGTAGCTCAGGTGGTAGAGCGGGTTGCCTCATGATCGGAGGGTCATGGGCTCGATTCCAGCTCCCGCCAGGGGTATCCTGCTGTTGTGTCCTTGGGCAAGACACTTCACCCAACTTGCCTGTGTTAGTGGTGGGCAGAGGGGCCGACGGCGCCAAATGGCAGCCTCGCCTCTGTCAGACCTCCCCAGGGCAGCTGTGGCTACAAGTAGCTTACCATCACTAGCAGTGTGTGAATGTGAGAGTGTGTGCAAGCGTCTTTGGGTGTCTTGAAAAGCGCTATATAAGTTCAATGTATTATTATTATTATTATTATTATTATTATAGAATGTATCATACCTCCAGAGTTATGAATAACAATCCTTCTAACCATATTTTATATATTTACTTAACATGCATGTACACACATCCTCGTACTACCATGTAGGAGAAGAAATAATAATAATTGTATTGATAACATTATTATTATTATTGTTGTTAATAATAATAATAACAACAACAATAATAATAATAATGATAATACATAAAAACACTATTTATAATAATTACTTTATAATTTTAGCCCATTGTAGTAGGAGGCTTTCCTCCTCCTTGTACCTTGTGAAGATCATCTGCTTGTGCTGTCTTTTAAACACAGTCATCCCTGAACATTGCTTTAGTTCTACACACAGTTTGTTTCACTCCACACTTGTTCTAGTAATGTTTAATGTACAATAATCTATTTGGAAAAGGAAGGACAACAAAGCATCCTGCTGCCTTTTGGTGGAAATCCCCATTCAAGCCTAAAATAAAAGCTCAGTGACTATATTACTGCGTCTATGGGAGGAAACACAACACTAACAGTATCTAACCCTCACACACCCTACCTGTAATCTCATGTTTCCTCACTTCAGCATGTGTTGTTTATGTTGCAACCTTGTGTCTTCTGTCTCCTCTGCAACAGGACTCGTCCCACCTCCCTCCTCGTCCCTATGTGATTGGCCTGACGGGAGGCAGTGGCAGTGGAAAGAGCTCCATCGCCAAACAGCTTGAAGCTCTGGGCGCAGTTTGGATCGACTGCGACAAACTGGGCCATGAGGTGTACCAGCTCGGAGGTGACGCCTATCACAGGGTGCTGCAAGAGTTTGGATCAGGTGGGGGTCGTTGTTCATTCAAGGCATGTTAGGGCTAGATGGGTTTGGTCAGAAAGTCCACAATGTTGTAGGGTCAAAATTAGGGATGCAAGATATATATATATATGTCAGCATCTCTATCGGTGATGGCCGATGCTAGTCATTTTTTAACACATCAGTATCAGTCCGATAAATAAAACTGGGCTGATATTAATGAACAATATGTTTTATTTGCGTCTAAATTCTCTATCCATTTTCATACACTCCTTTTAAATGTCCATTCACTATCACTGCACAAAATGTCACAATACTTCAGTGTACTAATATTTTCTTACATCCCTTCTTATATTAATGCAATATCGGTTATCTGGTATAACAGCAATATTAATATCTGAAATTGATATTGGCTCACAATTTCATATCTGTGCATCCCTATTAAAAGTACACCGTTTCACCTGCTATTTTCTATGAATCACTTCATTTGATATAACTTTGCTCCTGTAGTACTTAGATCCTCCACAAGGGACAGAAAATGAGTTTAGGAGAAACTACTAATCATGTTAAGGAGGAAATAAATGGGGCTGGAGGATCAGATGATTTATTTTGTCTTAATTCACATGATAAAATCCCTGGATTGACAGATTATTTAATAAAGGATTACATGATTTAATTTTTAAACCAAAAATAGGGGAGGCAGTCATAGATTTTTTCCAGCTTTAACAGGCTCATAAATTAAACAAACATTAAACTTTACCGGTGTGTGTGTGTGTGTGTGTGTGTGTGTGGGTGTGTGTGGGTGTGTGTGTTTTGTTGTCTCTTCTAGAAATTCTGAACAAGGATAAAACCATCAACAGACGTGCTTTAGGGAAAAAGGTTTTTGGAAACCAGGTAACTGTGCCACTATCTCAAGGTTTCAGGTAAAATGTCTTACGACTTACCAAAGGAGACGTGTTTGTTGCAGGAGCGGTTAAAATGTCTAACAGACATCGTGTGGCCTGAGATTGCTAAACTGGTGATGAAAAGAATCAGCCAAGCTAGAGATGAAGGTATCTATGAATTTACATCAAACTGCTTTTTGTGTGTTTTTGTTGTGGGATGTTCAGATGTGACCTTTCTGTATTTGTTTTTGTAAACGTTCCTTCTGCCTTCCTTTCGTTAAAGAGGACACATTTTTAAAACAGTTGATTCATTTAGTTCTAACATTAAAATGTGTTTATACTCTTTAGTTTTAGGGAGAACTTGGTCTGATTGTATCATTTTCAGGTTAAAGGCTCCACAATAGCTTGCATTTATAGAACAACACATGCTCTCTTTATGATCAAAACAGCTAAAATGGTTGATGCCAAAGTAAAAATAGACTTTTGACGCCAAACAGGGATTTTGCTGCTGAATCTTCAGTCGGTTTATTTAAAGAGATAATTTGCAACATTTTCATATTTTTAAATTTTCTTGAACCAGTATCTGCTAAAATGACCTTTTACATGGTTAATTAAAGGCCACCCAGCCCCTATCGCCCCAGTGATCAGAATATTCCACTTGCAACTTCAGTTGCTGGTCCAGTCTGTTGGGAAAGGGAGCTGGCGCAGCAGTCTGCCTCCGGCACGTTTCTTGCATGTTTTAGATCATGAACACAGCTGATTTGTTTAATTTAGTGATGAATCACTCCTGTAGACACCAAGGAAGGCTGGGGAGATGTTTCAGCTGTTAGATAAGTTTAAAAAGTTGTTAAGTTATTTAAAAGTTTAAGTTGTTAAAAAGACAAACGCACAGCAAGGAGATGAGTTTTCAATTCAAGTTTATTTATACAGCGCCAAATCACGGTACGAGTCGTCTCAAGGCACTTCACATAAAACATTCCAATGCAGGTCACTTCATTAAGCCAATCATTAAAAAGTTTCCTACATAAGGAACCCAGCAGATTGCATCAAAGTGACTTTCCGGCAATCCTCATACTAAGCAAGCATAAAGCGACAGTGGAGAGGAAAACTCTCTTTTAACATGAAGAAACCTCCAGAGGATCCTGGCTCAGTATAAGCAGCCATCCACCACGACTCACTGGGGATCGAGAAGACAGAACACGCACACGCACACACACACACACACGCACACACACACACACACACACACACACACACACACACACACACACACACACACACACACACACACACACACACACACACACACACACACACACACAGTAATGTTTCTATGGTTACATTGTGACTTCTTAGTAAATATTCTATTTGGTGAGAGATAAACTTTATTGTATTTATCCTAGTGAATCTATAATTGAACTGGTCAACTAGTAGTAGCACATTCAATGTCAAAGAAAGTAAAATGTTATTATCAAGAGAGAGAGAATGTTTAAGTGGTTAGCAGCAGTGTTCAAGCGCCCTCCATGAGGCCACCACAGCTCAGCAGAACATCATTGTAGCTTCTTCTGGCGAGAAAAACACTTATAGAAAAAATAAAGTTAACAGCTGAAATAGCAGGAAATAATACAGTCAAAGAGCAGATTGTAGTAGAAAGTAGTAGAGTGTGGAAAGTGGTCAGTATGTCCTCCAGCAGTCTAAGCCTATAGTAGCATAATTACAGAGATAACTCTGGATAACCTAGCCTTTTAGATGGAGGCAGGGCAAGGGAGAGCCGTCTTTATCGACTGTATTCTACACCTCCCTCTACTCCCCTGCTTGTCCAGATCTGGGCCAACATCAGATTTGTTTTGCATTCAGCTCTACAAATGGACTCTAGGGGGTGCTAAAAGCCAAAACTGCCTAGTTCCCCTTTAAAACCTCATTATCCTGACTGATAATCAATGTATTTGTTCAGGTAAACAAGTGTGCGTGGTGGATGCAGCTGTTCTTCTGGAGGCCGGCTGGACGGACCTGGTTCACGAGGTTTGGGTCACCATCATCCCTGAGGAAGAGGTAACGTGTACTTCTGACCCTCGATAACACACACCATCCCATAAATGACTTTTTCTGCATCTTTTAAAAAGGTTTTGTCAAGGCAAAAAAGATTTCTATTTGATTTTTAGCAGTAAAAGGAGTCAATGTTTAATTTTCACCACTAGATGGCACCAGAGTTAAATGAGAACACCTGACTCAGCTTGATCCTGTTTTCTCTCTCAGGCGGTGCTGAGGATAACGGAACGAGACGGCGTTAGCACAGAAGACGCTCTGCACAGGCTGCAGAGTCAGTGGTCAGACGGCAAACAAGTGGAGCACGCTAATGTAGTTCTGAGCACTCTGTGGGAGCCAGAGGTCACTCAGAAACAGGTCAGACAACCTCTCATCAGCATCAGAAGTGCTTTTCATACACTTATCACACAAAGTCTTTATTTGTGTCGTTTTAAAGGTACTGAAAGCTTGGAGTCTTCTTCAGGAGAGGATTGAACAGAAGCCAGAGGGACTATAGGAACAAATCTGGGTCGCGGTCAGGCCTGGGGACATTTGTGAACCAGTGACTAATCTTATTAAGACAAAGCTGCCTTAATAAAAGTAGTGAGTTAAGTCATTAAACTACTGCAGGAAGGTATTGGTGTCCGATTGACCTTTCGTTTGTTTTTAATCTGTAGTTTTATTTCAGTGATGGAGGAAAGGGTAACAGGAAAAACTTTGTGAATCATCTTTGATCAGAAGTCATAGTATGTTAAGTTGACAACAGCATTTTTTGTTATAAGAATTAAAAATTCTGTTCTGTGTGGAGGAGGTCATCTTTAAATGTTCTTAGAAAAGCAAACACATAACAGTAGCATTAAATTGTTACTAAATATGAAATGTAATGATTTAGTTCAGATGTTTTAGAGTTTTAAATTCCTAGAGGTTTTTCATATGGAGGGATGCTGTAAATTATTATAAAAAGTGCTGAATAGTGCAATGAAAAAGGCAGTGGATACAAATTTGTAAAAGTAAAGCAGATTCTGTGCCATTTTTAAACAATTTCACAATGATAATGCTGCTGGAGCCACCTGAGTGACCGAACATTTAGTCAGTCTGTGTGGAGTTTTAAAGGGATACTTTTCAACTTTTTCATGTTTGAATCATTTTCCTGAGCCAGTATGTGCTAAAATGACCCTTTACAGGGTTAATGAGAGGCCACCTAGCCCTTATTCCCCCCACCCCACCAGAATATCGCACATGCAATTTCAAGCTGGCGGACTGCTCTGTTGGGCCTACATACCTGGTGCTGCAGTCTGCTTCCAGCATGTTTTAGATCATGAACACAGCTGATTTGTTTAATTTAGTGATGAATCACTCCTGCAGACACTAATGAAGACTGGGAGACATTTCAGCTGTTAGATAATGGTGTTGAAAAGACAAACGCACAGTGTTGTGGTTATTAGCCAACAAATAGTTTTTAAGTTTTACTTACCCTCTGGATTCATCAATAAAATTTGTAAATATGGAAATATTTATCGATTTCTTACTTAATTAGGATTTCCGTGGATATGCCTCAGGGCACCACCCCTTTTAACAGGGGAAAATTGAATCCAAACCTCTATCAATCTGTCTAAAGTTTGTAAAATTCTTTTAACGAGCGGCGGTCATATTCTATCCAACACAGACAAATTCACTTGAGACAAAACTTAATTGGCAGTAACATTTATTAACTATTATAACCACCTCAGCTCCTCCAAGGCGCTAGCCAATCAACATGTCAACCAACTGATTTTATCAAACAAACAACAAGCAAGGAAACAATGGAATGATACTGTGAAGAAACAATCTAATCAGACTGGTGGGGTGAGATGGTGATGTAATCAAGCAAAGGTGGGGTTGCTTAATGATGTAATCAGACAGAGATAGTCTGATTACCAAACTGGAGGGAGTTTTGAAAAACAAAATGGCGGATCCTTTGTTTGGTTGAACAAAGGATCGAAACTAGGTGTGTGTGTGTGTGTGTGTGTGTGTGTGTGTGTGTGTGTGTGTGTGTGTGTGTGTGTGTGTGTGTGTGTGTGTGTGTGTGTGTGTGTGTGTGTGTGTGTGTGTGTGTGTGTGTGTGTGTGTGTGGAATTTAGCCTGGCTTCCAAAAACACGTATAATCAGTGGTAGTGGGCCCCTGATCGGACGCGTATTTGACGGTGTGAGCAACATTCACAGTAAATTTGATCAAAACACTTAATCGCTTTACAAAGCTCAAGAAAAGAAAACAACAGATCAATCATAAAGGCAAATTAACTATCTAAACAGTCTGTCTGGCCTGGCCACAGCATAAACAAACTTAGATATTAAAAACAAGAGAAACGGAGCTTACTTCGAGATGGTCCATTGGCGTTTTTAGTACGGAAGAGAGAGACCGTCTATTATTTTAAAGCAGTCACGTGGTCGACCGCTTGTTTTTGACTATTATGGGCCATTCCCATCTGTACCGGGTCGGCCCGGGCCGGGTAGCCCCAGTCGGCCGCCTGGCCCGGTTGATTCCACACATCCTTGTCTTAAGCCCATGTGGGCTGATTCTACCCACCAATCAGAGGCTTGCTCTAATGGAAGGTGTGAATTTGCTGTCAGCAGTGGGTGTGTTGGCCCTGGTCGGCCTGAAGCAGACCCCCTCGAGAAGAGGGCTGAGAATGAGCCTTGGTTGGCCCGGAAAAATACCAGGTCACCCAGATATGTAAACAACCTACGCTACCCGGCCCGACCCGGTACAGATGGGAATGGCCCATTAAGAGAAGCGGAAGAGAAAGAGAGAAAAAAAAAAGAAAAATCTTGAATGAACGGACACAAGGCGTCCCTCTGTGTCCGGGGCTGAGCAGATCAGATGGCGTTGGTCCATTGATCCCAGCAGCTAGGCCTCACACACACGCCGTCTGGAGCGGTAGGAGCAGAGGCGGGGGTCTCCTTACACCAGGTGAACTGGACAGGGGAGAGAAAGAGTTCCGCTCTGCGCCTCGGCTTTATAGACTCGTCCAGCGGGCAGTCTCTGTAGGGGCTGGTATCCACCGGGGCATGTCAGACTTGGTGTCACTTGATGACATCATCAAGCTGCTGCCGGCTGCACAGGATCATGGGACATGGAGTCCCTGCTGGCGCTGATATCAACATGCTTTGTCTACGCTTCAGGGCGTAGATGGCACAGTCCTTTGGAGAAAATACTGCGTAGTAATTTTCTCATGAGGGCAGGACCCCAACAACAGCAAGGAAATAGGTTTGGCTTTCAGTTCTACAAACTTACACTAGGGGGTGGTAAAAGTAAGCCGCCTAGTTCTCCATAAATGAAGAAAGACTTGTGTCTTTAAATGTGAAATAAGATATGATCCCATCTGTCACATGACCATGTGTCATTCAGCACTTTATCTAAATAAAACCAAAAGAGCTGTAATTGTCACAAGCAACAGATAATTTATTCATAAAAGTTTACAAAACAAGAAGATGCTTTCTGCTTTGGTCATACTTGTATAAAAACATTTAATGTTAACGTGTTTGTCTAACAACTAAAGCATCAAACTAACAATCTGGCATAAAAACAACCTTTTCCTCACGTCATCTCAAGGTATTTCTGTAAACCTTACATTTTATTACCTTTAATAAAACTTAAAAAAACATTCCAATATACAAAATGTGCAGGTGTGTTAATAGTGAAGCTAATGTGAGTCCCTGTGTGTGTTTAAATAACTCAACAGAGCTAATTTAGGACATAGATGAAGTGTATGAACAGCAGAAACTGTGATTGAAGGTAACTGGTTAAATCTTCCTATTTGGTTGGGATCCAGTGTGAAAGCAGTCTTGTGTGTGACGCGTGTCCATTTACCGGTAGAACAATAAGAAAGGAAATCCTAAATCCACCCACTCACATTCTCTCAGCGTTCCACATTCAACTTGGCAGAGCATTTAGCTTCCCCCAGCTCGTTTCTGGCTCGGCACACATAAACCCCGGAGTCAGAGGGCATCAGATCATCCAGAACCAGAACACAGAGTCCGTCCTCATGTTGCATTATCACTGCTCTGCGCAATTCAGACAGCGGCCGGTTGTCGTGAAGCCACTTCACCTCTGGACGTGGGTATCCTGGGGTTGGGAAACATTATTCCATCATTCTAGAACAAGCAAAGCACTTTTAGCTATGTTTCCGTTGGAAAATGATTTTTTTTAGCCACTACCGTCAACGAGGCACGTCAGCACAGTGGTTGCTCCTTTGGGAAGGGTGACATCCTTCAGGGTCAGCTGGAAGTGCGGCTCCATCTGCAGCTGCTTGTCCAGCGACTGGATGGCCTCCTCAGCCTCCCGGCTCCAGCCTGGCTCTAGATCAGAGGGAGGAAGGGGGTGATGATGCAGGGGAAATAGAAAGAAGGCCTCCTTGATCACAAGAGCGTGAACCCAAAGTGACAATCTGAGACCGTTTGATGAGCAGATCTGGGAGACGAAGCACATTGTGTCAGTTACCCTCTAAGGAGTGGCCTGGAGAGTCTGGCCTGTTGGAGAGGTTAGTCATCCGCTTCAGAGCCAGAACCGCTTTGCCGGCTTTCTGGAAGTTGGGGGGGGGAAATCTTAAACTACAAACTTTTGCTCTGTAGACGTTTCATTCGTTTGAAATTGAGCTACCTTCCATTTGCGTCTAGCCAGGAAACGCTTCATTTTCTCTTTATTCAGCGACTTGGTGGGTCTGCGGGTCAGAGGGGTGAAAGACGCCATCCAGGAGTGGGCGAGGGCCTCTGTGCATGACATCCTGCCTCTGACAGACCAAACAGAAATATTAAAACTGATTTATTTAGTCTGATGAGTAAGGAAATGACAGACCAAACCTTTTGTTCTTCTTGAGCAGCGAGCTGATAAAGTCTTTCGCTTCATCAGAGATGTCTTCAAAACTCTCTGGGTCAAACTCATATTGGGCTGCAGTCACAAGAGCTAGCGTCTCGGCATCGTTGTTTCCTTGGAAGGGGGATTCTCCACTGAGCCTGGATCACAAAACATCATAAACCACCACAGGCAGAGACAAGGGTCCCCAATCTGAATTCAGGGTAAAATATGTTTTATTTTACTCAAATGAATAAAAATAACTAAATGAAATGTACAAGCCAATGTCCTGCTTTAAATGAGGTTCTGGTTATAGTAGGAGAGCCAGCAGATGGCACCAAATCCTCCTTTTAAATTCCTTAAACCAGGGCTATTCAATTCCGGGCCTCGAGGGCCGGTATGTTTTGCTTCCTGCTTCAACACACCTGATTTCAATTAGTAGGTGATTAACAGGCTTCTGCAGAGCCCGGTGAGCTGCTGCACTGGGGATTCAACCACTGAGTGTGTTGGATCAAAGAAACACTTGAACGTGCTGGATACCGGCCCTCGAGGAATTGAAAGTCCTGCCTTAAACTGGAAATCTGTTGTAACAAATAAAACGAATTTCTTTTTCTAAACACTTAATAAAAAATGTTTCCCCAACAGAATGCTCTGATTCCAGTTAAAACTACCATCTTAGACGCTTCACTCACAAGATGAAGCAGATGACTCCGATGCTCCACATGTCTGTTTCCAATCCCACAGGCTCAAAGTTGATGACCTCAGGGGCCACAAACTCCGGAGTACCATGCATCACTGTCAGATCTTTAGTCGGATCTGAAAAACAAGAAGAATGCTGCTTAAATGTCCTTGAAAACAGTCTTTACAGACGTAATTATTATTATGGCTCTGGGAAAAAACAATCTCGTGTGTTTGCAGGGGCAAAGAGCTGCAATGATGTCACCGCTGTGCTATTCCTCCAGGAATTCGGACCCTCGTCCAAGCTTATCTCTGGCAGGCATTCAATGCCATCGATCCTCTCACCTAGTTCACAGGCCAAGCCAAAGTCGATTATCTTGATCCGTGTACCAGATGGATCCACGCAGACGATGTTCTCGGGTTTCAGGTCCAGGTGGATGATGTTCTGCTTGTGGACGTACTGCATGCCCTCTAGGATCTGCTTCATGTAGCGTGCACTGGTGGGTTCGGTGTGCTCAAAGTTTTCATCTACAATGCGTTTAAAGAGCTCCCCACCTGCAATACTAGACAGTAACAACGAGTCAGGGTCACAGGTCAGACACAAGATCTTCCCTAAATCTTGAGTGAACTCCAAAAACGTCATCAGATGTAGATTTCTTACTATTCCATGATCAAGGCCATCTCTGAGCGGGTATCGTAGGCAGCTAGACACCGCACAAGTTTGGGGTGGTGCAGCTTGTTCATGATTTGCATCTCTTTGCGAGCAGCAGCCTTGTCCTTGGAGACTCGAGCTCGGTAGAACTTGCCTGCACACTCTTGGCCCGTTATCTTGTGGGTCATTCGGAACACCTGGCCGAACTTTCCACTGGAGCATTCAAAGATAACATTTAGAAGCATCAGGACTGACACCTACCAAACTAAACACCCAAAGTTTACAGAAACGTACACTCCCAGCTTCTCGTGCACATTGTAATGATCGTTGACCTTATGCTTGGTGTCGATAGTCACCATGACATATGGCTCTGACTCTTCTTTCTTCTCCCCTTTGAGCACAAAAGAGGAAAAAAAGTCAGGTTTTAAAGTCAAAAGCCAAACTTTCTGCCATTCAATTTATTACCGACATCACTCACTTGATGTTGCCATCCTGACACACACAGATTCCTGGCTCGGCTCGCTGGTCCCCGCTGAGTTGTAGGCCTTGACGCGGAACCGGTACTGTTTCAGAGCCTCCAGGCCTGAGCAGATGTGGTATGACGTGTTTTTACTCCTGCCGATTGCAGTCCAGCTCCCACTCTTGTCAGAACCCTCTTGACTGACCTCCACAATGTATCCCAACACAGCTGTGCCTCCGTCGTAGCCAGGTCCCGTCCAGGACAGAACCAGGGACTGGGAGGACACACTAGACACTACGGGCTGGGATGAAGGAGGAGCGGGTCGATCTGAGGACAAAGGTCAAACACGTTGTTCTAGCGCATTCTATTGGGATTTTCCTTTTTTCCCTAACTTTAAAACATTTTATGCTTCTGATTTGTCATTTGTATTGAGACAAGCATTTAGGAAACTATTTAGTTCCCTTATATTTACCAACAACACTGAGGGACACCGTGTGCCGAGCAGAGCCGTGTCTGGTCCGAACAACAAAAGTGTACGAGCCCGAGTCTTCCAGAAGGGCCTGAGAGATCTCCACGCTGCTTTGGGTCCCGTCGATCCTAACCGCCGTCCGAGGCCCTCCTGCCACCACCTGGACAGGAAGAGGAAGGCCAAAGAGTCCAAAGTGTTTAAACAGCTATATGTAAACAAACAAATCACTTCTTTAATCAAATCAGTCTGTGGTGGTTTTGCGGTTTACTTTGGTTCTGTTGTAAATCCAGCAGCAGGCCACAGGAAGAGAGCTGCTCCTGAACTCACAGCGTAGCCGAGCCTGCTCACCCACACGGGCCTCCACCTTCTCTGGTGGGTTAACAAACTCCACACAAGGCCCTGATTTTAAAAATAAACATGCACCAAACTGAACTCTTTTCTGTGAGAATTAATGAACTATCTTTGCTTGTAGTGGAACATCCCTGCTTACCTTTGTGTGCTGGGACTTTAGTAGGAGGCCTGCTGTCTCTGATAGCTGTGAGAGAGGAAGCAGTAGGTTGACCTACAAGTGTGCACCATGATAGGGAGGTTTAAACCAACCAATCACACGGCTTGTTTGGCTTTGAGGACAAACATTGCACCTTGTCCTTTTTTGGAAACAAAGTTCTGAAAACTGTATTTCTTCCTTTTCTTAAAATGCTACTTTAAAAAAAATCATATGTAGTTTTATATTCAAAGGAAGGAGAAACAAAGCAGAAATGGGGATTTATGAGGTCATACCTTTATCTAATTCTCCTGTGTGTTGATTTTTCCCATCAGCAGTGGAGGACTGGTCGTTGTTTTCATTTGACGTCCTGAGTGCTTCCTCACTGGACAGCCTATGGTTGCTTGTTCTGGAGGGGGGTTGTGTTGCTGCTGCTGCTTTGTGAGCAGAGTGACACATTGTGTTATCCACACAGCTTTGCAGCTACTACTGGTTATGCTGGTTTTGGTGTTTTCTAAGGATTTTGTAACCTTACCTGTGACTTGTAACACAGCACTGCACGATCTCCTTCCTGCACCATTCTCAGCCACACAGGTGTACACCCCAGCGTTTCCTGCTGAACACTGTCTCACAGTCAGTGTGGCAAGGCTGTTTTTGAAGGAGGCGTTACAGGAGTTCAGCTCAACACCTAAATGTAAGAATAAATATGTTTCGGTGAGCACGTAGAAATGGAACTTTCTTCCCTTTTGTTGCTCTAAGTTTGTATTTTTGATTGACCTACCGTTGTGCAGCCAGGAAACACTCAGCAGTTCGCTTCCTGTGATGACACCATGAAACGTAGCATCACCTCCATCACAGATTGAAAGGTCTCTGAGTGACTCTTTGAAGCAAGGAGCTTCCATTCTCTGAAATGTGACATGTTTGCCGTCTTTGCAGAAAGGAAGCAAAAATGATGGATGTCGGTCATTAGTCATCATCTATTTTGCAATTCTGTCACGACGTCTGTGCATAACGTATGCAAATCTTACATAAAAACCTTTTCATTCACGAATATTGAGCTTGGGCTTTTGGTAAAAGAACAATGTGTTTTTCTCCATAGGGCCATTCAGAGTTGGAACTAACATCAGTTTTAGCACAAAACTGAAACTAAAGTGTCTTTTTGCATGGTCATACCTCCTAAATGAAAGCTGTAAAAACATTTCACACACACACACACACACACACACACGCACACACGCACACACGCACGCACGCACACACGTGACCACCAGGACAAACATTGATGTCACGGAGTGACCGGAAGCTGCTGGTTATTGCCATGGTGACTCTGATGTTGCTTGGACTTGTAAAAATCCTGCTGTTTTTCACATTCCTCGGATATCTATTGCGTTAAAGAGGTGTTTGAGCTTTTCCCACCACATGTGCTTTTGCCTTGGAATGTCCAACAAGAGGATGGTGGAATGCTTTCAGTTTGGGAATGTGGACACCTGGGGGGATGGGAGAATTTAGCTTCCAAAAGCCACAGGGAGCTGACTAAGGATCTGTCCCCACATGTTTGTCATTCAGTCTTTCAACTGAACTTTGATGCTTTCAAGGGTTCAATTACAACATAAATGCCATGTTTGATCAGTTATTTTGATATTACACAATTATTTGTACTAATTCAACATGATGCATGTCGAAACTTCTTGCTGTTTGCCAGCGACATGCAAAAAGATAATTGGAACAAGTGTCACATCTGCGTTGCATCACCACTCCTGTTAAACATTGTGCAAATGTTTGGTAATGGAAAAAAACCCATCTTGATTTATTTGATTTTATTTATCTACTCTCACACCAGATGTTTTCTATAAATAATGAAGAAAAGCCTGTTTAATGTCAAGAGACTGGGAATTAAATATGTACAGGATGTGAATGGACAGTTTATTTATTATTAAACAAACTCCCCCTGGTGGCTGGTTCCCATAATGGTTTTAAGTCCCGCCCCCTCTGTTTAAATAAATGGGACTTTTTCTTGATGGATTTCCAGATCTCTCTTCACATAGTTCTCACCTTGTTGACCTGTTACATTTTATTCGAATAGGTTTAGTTGTAATTAGCAAAACAGCACACCTGCAGGGACCTGCACACTAGAAATCATGGCTTCACATACCAAAAAAGGACTGAAATACCAGAGCTATTTTTATACTATGTCCAAATGAATCAGTGTTTATTTACTGGAATGTTATTGTCCTAAACAGAAAGCAGTTGGACAGGATTTAGTTTGTGTAGTTTTAACTTTTAATTTTAAATGCAGCTTTGCTGTTACTGATTCATCACTGCCACAAAGATTTTTAATATGAAATTCTGTCTGTTTTAAATGAAAGTTGATGCAAATTTTAAAAAAATCAGTAATTTTTTCTGATTTAGCAGCTGATTCTTCACAGTTCCCCTAAATTATTTACTTTTTAAATAAATGGCAGAGAGTAAATCACAATTTTTTTAAGTTTCAGTATTTGATTTGGCATATTTTCATATTTTCTTTTAGAAAATGTATCCGTTTTGTTGTTAAAGTTGTTAGAAGGAATGAACAGACATTAGAGCGGGTGTCACCAATAAGCAGCACACCTGAATCAAATGGTTTCACCTCCTCACCACGTTGGGTTCAGGAGAAGCCTTTTGATCACCCCCTTTATTTAAATCAAGCGAGCTGGAGGAAGGAGCCAGCTAATAGTGAGGACTAGAGTTGGGGAGATGTGTTACATACCAAAGCGTGATCATTAATCATCCCATTATTTAACAAAAATTAAGCCAAAATAAAGTAAATTTAAACCATTTTTGCATTTTGACATCAAACTGTTCAGTTTTACTGGCTTTTACCTGTTGCATGTGCTCTTTCCAGTTTGTTGTTTCCTGTTATTGTCCTCTTACTGGTATCCAGTCCATTCTTCTGCTTCTTCACACAGTGCCGAGGCCTGAGGGCCAGTTGAAAGGTAGACACATATGTCTTTGGTTTTTCACCACCTTTGTCCATCTTTGAGCTCCAGTGGCACGTCAGCAGCTGATCTTCAAACCCTTGCTCATCTATCAGGCCTCCTCTTCCTCTCCTGACTGCTTTTCACTGAGACGGGGAGAAAGTTACTAGCGCTCCATGCTCACTCACAGTCAGTGTGTGTGTGTGTGTGTGTGTGTTTACACATCCTCCTGGATGCAAACAGAAAAGGGGGGAGCCTTTTGCTGTCTCTGTCCCAACTTAGGCAGGAAACTGTTTTATCAGAAAGCTGATCAAAAGCACACATGTCCAGCCCCTGCTGCCCCTCTGGACTGGAGGACAGAGAGAGAGAGAGAGAGAGAGAGAGAGAGAGAGAGAGAGAGAGAGAGAGAGAGAGAGAGAGAGAGAGAGAGAGAGAGAGAGAGAGAGAGAGAGAGAGAGGGGGGGGGGGGGGGTGAAAACATTCCTTCTGGACAGAAACAGAAAGCTACAGCATGAACAAGGGTCAAAGGAAAGTGGAGTAAAATGTAGATTTACCTTGGAAAACACAAATCTCTCCTTTCACTGATACTTTTGTCCTCTGTCAGCTTTTTGTATCCATTTCCTCCTCCGTAAACACGTTTCTCCCATGTTGTGTTGCATGAGAGCGAGAGCAGGAAACAAGAAGAGCCTGTAGAGCAACTCTCCCAACCTTCAGTCTGCTCTGGTAAACAACATCCAGAAAAAAAAATCCCAACAAATCACAGGAGCTGATTCTGCACGACATGAATGCAAGCTGGTGTGTCCACACAGTCTGTCTTCCACTTGAGTCGAGCTTTAATCGACCTTTTGTTGTGTCAGAATCCGTGTCAGGCGAGCTTTCTCTGGTCAGTTTACACACGAAGGTGCTTTATTGGTCTGTTTGCTCTTCTGTTTCTTTTAGAAAGTGCATTAGTGTACGTTCCCATCACAGGTTCTCTTTAATTCAACCATTACCTGGACAGAAATGCTGTAAAACTAGATGCAGCCAAACCCTGAACACAAGATGGCAGATGAGATCATTTAGGCAGTTATTGTTTCTTTCTCCTGACAGCTGGGCTTGTGGTGATAAGAGAGTGTGCTTCCTAAAGGGAGAAACTAGACATTTATGGAAATATCTTAATTCATGTGTTTTATACCAACAGGTGAGGAGTGACGGAGGCAGAGGAAGCAAGTGCCCACCTCGTAACCGGAGGGTTGCAGGTTCAAGCCCCGCTCAGTCTTCTGCAATCGTGTCCTTGGGCAAATACTTCATCCTCCTTTCCTGCTGGTGGTGGTCGACAGGAGCGGTGGTGGCAGCCTCGCCTCCGTCAGTGTGCCCCAGGGCAGCTGTGGCTGAATGACTGTTGCATTGTAGAGCACCTTGGGGGTTTCGGGACTAAATACAGGCAAATTAATAATTTTTCATAACGAGTAATAATAAAAACAAGGAGATGAAATAACTGAGACCCAGCCATGTCAGACACCAGGAGATTGTTTGATGAGAAGATTGTTTTGTTTTAATCTCTCTTCTCAAACTGGGGTCAGACACAAGAATGACACAAAAAGGAAGTGACTCTCATCTAAAATAACAAAACTGTTTTATAGTTTTGTAATAAGAAGTTTGTTAATTTTTTTATTAAATACTTTATGTAGTCATGCCCAGCCCTTACATCCATAGTGGTCACTCCATTTTGTTCAGACCTGCATGTTAGTAAAAATTAAGTTTTAGGCATAGTTTAAATCCAGCCTGAAAACACATTTCTTTCATTTAGCTTTTGGCCAGCGATTGTTCTTTTATGCTGTTCTGTTTTTATTGGCTGTTTTATCTTTCTGTTTTGGTCTTAGATGTTTTTATTTTATGACTGTTTTTATTTGTGTTTTATGTGCAATAGGGTTGAATTAGAATTTTTATGGCTTTTTAGGTGTCAATGCTTTTACTCTGCAGCACTTTGGTCAGCTGACATGTTGTTTTTAAATGTGCCACACAGACACATTTGGTGTCATGCTCTGTGCTGAACTCACCATCCTCGTCTGAGCTTTGTTTGCAGGTGGGTGTGTCCGGAGAGCTCTGCTGTGTCTAATCAGCTCATCAGCGGTCAGGGGATTTAAGGAGCGGCAGGACAACTCGCCAGCGCCGGATTATACTCAGTCTTGGGTAGTTTCTAGCCACCTGATCTTTCCTGAAAGATAACCAGAATCTGTTTGCCGTCTATTCCTGCCTTTCAGGCCATTAACTCGCTCTGTCCTCCTGATCCTTCCAGGTTCCATTAATCTATCCAGAACCTGCTTTCTGCAATACCACCTGAACCATCGCCAGCATTCCAGCCCCGCCGTTTGCCCCTGATCACCTGCTCTCAGCCACTCACCTGCACACCTGGAGCTCCTCAGTCTCCCTGCTCAGCCAGGCCTGGCATACCCTCCCCAAAGAACCCGGATCATCCAGGAAACCTTAAGCTCTCTGCCTTTCTCATTAGCCTCCCACGTTTGTCCCAGACTCTGACCCCACTTCCTCTCTCAGAACCCAACGGATCCATTTCCCGTCCCTCAGAAGCAGCTTCGCACATCACCATACAAATAAACCTCTTTTACTTACCTTCCGACTCCTGGCGGTGATTCTTCATGTCGTGGGTTAAGAAATTGCCTTCAAACATGATATTTGGATTGGATTGATTTTGATTAAGAGTTTTTTTTCCCTCAAAAATGGAAAAATCTGAATCTGATGCAAAAGTTCATTTAATTCATTAATCCATCTTAGACTGAGAAACCATCTAAAGACTTAGAAACCCTTTGCAGGTGTTCTGGGTTTATTAGCTGATTAGAGTGTGACACTTTGAGTCTAGAATATTGCACTTTTTCACAATATTCTAATAGTCTGAGATTGTGATTGTGGGTTTTTATAATTTGTAAGTAATCACCACAATTATAACAAATAAAGGCTGAAATATCTGGTTTTGCATGGAATGAGTCTAGCTCATGTATTAGTTTCACCTTTTAAGTTGAATTACTAACTTGTTTTAACTCTTTTTTGCATATCTGATTTTGTGAATTCCACCTGTATGCTTCTGTTAGTGAGATTAAAAGCTATGAAAGGGTCAAATGGTTACATTAAACCCTAAACTTAAAAAAAATAATACAGACTGAAAATAAAATCAGAATATCTTTCCTTCAGGAAAGCTTTTTGAAATTTGAATGTGGCAAAGAAGTGAGTTGTTTAAGCTAAAAAGCTTGTAGAAACTGGTACACATGAAATAAAATGTATGTTTATGTGTTTATGTTTATTTGGCAGACGCTTTTATCCAAAGCGACTTACAATTTATAACCTATAGGGCATGTTGTGATCTGTGGGGAAACCCGGAGGAAACCCACGCATGCATGGGGAGAACACGCAACTCCACGCAGAATGGCCGCAGCCGAGCCGAGTTTCGAACCTGCAACCTTCGTGCTGCGAGGCAACAGTTCTAACCACTGCAACACCACGCAAATGTAGGTTAATGTCATGTCTAAACGTAAAAATCTTCACACATTTTCACAGTATGGCAAAACGTTTCAGAATGACAGAATAATATAAACGTCGTCCTCAAAGATTTCCCTCAGCAGAAATGCCAGGCAACATTTATGTTTCCTGGTGTGTGTGTGTGTGTGTGTGTGTGTGTGTGTGTGTGTGTGTGTGTGTGTGTGTGTGTGTGTGTGTGTGAGTGCAGTGATGTACAAACGTATCCCTCACAGGAACAGTAACGGTGTTCTGACTGATTAATGGAGCAAACTGATAAAAGCATCTAAAAGCTGCTTTACATTCTTGCAGCGTGGCTCATTAGTCAGGCTCACGTATCTCACACAAAAATAACTTCCTGTGGAAACAAACCCTGTTTAGATTAGGAAAGGCTGCCTCCACACACAAACAGAAACGTTCCATTCTTCTATTAGGATCTAAAATGGTTTGTTTAGATGTTTCTGTCTTGTTTTTGGGATCAGGTCAGATGTTTAAAGCGTCTGACGTCAGGAACGCTGTTTGTGACAGTTTAAAGTTTTACAAAACAGGTTTTATATTTTAGCAAATATGTTGGTGAAAACTGTTAAATTTTTAGTGATCTGTCTGTGTTTGATGTGGCTTCTGTTGTTTCTGAACATTTTATTTTCTATCTTGCTGATTTTTTTATCCAGTTTGTACGTTTTGCAGGTTTTCTGCATCATGCATCACTCTGTGGATGCATTTCCAGTGGAGGGCAGGGTAAAAAGACGTGAGTAATCCCTGAATTGTCCAAATTCTTGATCTTTTTTTTCAAAAATAGATAAATAACAGGATTTAGCTGTAGACTGGAAACATCTGGGTTTGACATGAAAGCCTGAATCTGGCAAAAGAGCCTTTATTATTAGGTTTTTCTATCTGTATCTGATACACAACTTAGCATTATCTGTAATGTGCACCACATTTTTAGGCGATCAAAGGAATTGGAGCATTTGACTGACAGGTGGGTCATACGTTGCACAGGTCCTGATCTGTTTGGTGAGTGCAGACTGTAAGGTTAGTGTGAAAACAGGCAATAGTGAAGCTGGCAGAAGCAGAAGCAACCACTGGCCTTCACAAAGACCATTTGTAATGTTCTGAAGAAGAAACAATCCCCTTAAGACCAAGAATAACAGTTGACAGCAGACATATTTTGAGAGCTCTGAAGAAAAACCATAAATCAACTCTTGGTGACATCATCAAGCTCCAGAGGCAGAATCGTTAAGATCATGGCACCACCAGAGGATCCGACGTCCATCAGCAAGGACAATAATAAAACCAGACCAAAAGTACAAAGATGAGCCTCAGGAATTCTAATGTTTTGTGTACTGATGCGGACGATGCAGCAAAATGAACTCAGGAGTCCACAGAAACATTTAGGCAGAAACCCCACAGAGCATGTGGAAGTGTTGTGCATACTCCAGATTAAAATTTACTTTGCATTGACTTTAACTTTTGAAGTTCGTGTGAAACTCTCAATCATGTCCATACATTGTGTTTCGCAGCTTATTTAATACAGGTGCTGGTCATGAAATCATGACAGAGTTGAGTTTTTTTCAGTAATTCCATTCAAAAAGAGAAACTTTATTAGATTCCTTCGTTACACGCACACTGATATATTTCATGTTTATTTAATGTTTATTTCTTTAATGTTGATGATTATAACTGACAACTAATGAAAATCTCAAAGTCAGTACACAGAATATTAGAATATAAATTTGGATCAATGCAAACAAAGGAATTTTAGAAAGGCTGTTCACCTGAACAGTATGAGCATGTACAGCACTCAGTATTTAGTTGGGGCTCCTTTAGCCTGGATTACTGCAGCAATGCGGCGTGGCATGGAGTCCATCAGTCTGTGGCACTGCTCAGGTGTTATGAGCTCATGTTGCTCTGATAAAGGCCTTCAGCTCTCCTGTATTGTTAGGTCAGGTGTATTGCATCCTCCTTTAGGGCTATTCAATTCTGGTCCTCAAGGACCGGGTCTTTTTGTCTTTCGCCCAGGCAAGGCGCTTCTGACACGATCTCTTGTTCAAGAGTAGATTGGCACAAAGAGTGTGACAGCTGAAACCGTGTACGTCTGTGTGTGGTGGTTCTTGAAGCCACTGACTCCAGCTGCAGTCCACTTTTTTGTGAATCTCCTCCACATTTTTAATAGGTTTTGTTTCACAATCCCCTCCAGGGTGCAGTTATCTCTATT